CCCTTTACCAGGTGTCGTCCCCGTCTGGAGAGCACCTTGTGTAGTGACTGTCCCGCCCTTTACCAGGTGTCATCCCCATCTGGAGAGCATCTTTTCCGCATTGTCCCTTCTTTTTGCTACCTTCTCATATTTCTTGGCAAAGACAGCAATCATGGTTTCACCATGAATGTACTTTTAATAAAAATTTGAATAAAAAGGACTATAAGCAAAATGGACTTATTTGGCTATTTTGGGGTCTATTATCAATTTCTAAAAATTACTCCCTGTATTTCATTGTAGATCTAGGTCAGGAGATAAAGCCAGGAACATATATATTCTAGTTTTCAGTCTTCTTTCTTTAAATTGAAGAGCTGCATTTATCATTGAGATACTAATAGATGTGTCCTGTTTAAATTTTATATATTCAAAGAAAATACTTAAAATAAAAGTGTAGAGATTCAGGAAAAAAAAACCCTAAAAAGTGTCAAATGGTTCAGAAATCCTAATATTAGAAAAGGTAGAAGTTACCTGGAATTGGCTCTTCTCCGACCCATACCAAGGGTGAAAATGGTAGCTCGAAAATTTGTCATGAGAAAACCGCCTTCGCATGGTTTCCAGTCTTGCTCTGAGTCCCACTCACAGGACCCTCGGCGCTTTCTTTGGAGCAGGCCGTCGTGGTCACCTGTTCCCATGGCCCTCAGCTCTCAGAGGCCCCTCCAGTGTCCCTGAGTGACGGTGGCTCCTTCTCAGTGTGTGTTGTGCAAATGAATCTCCTCATCTTCTTTATCCCCTCCACCCGCATTGCTTTCCTATACTTGTCTTTGGCTCTAATTTCATTTGGAAGCATGAGGATACTTTTAAAAACTCAATATTTCCAGCAGAGTAGTATTGTAGTGTTGTTATTATGGTATCAGTCAGCTTCCGCAGTTAACATTCTCCCAATAATACGTTGGAAATATTTAGTTCCAATATCAGGCAGTCTCATAAATTTCAAACAAAGGAAGATGAGCCCATTTTTATTAGTGCTTTCAAATCGCATAAGCAGAACAAAGAGCACTAGGCAACAGGGTTTAACTGAGCTTTCCAGGTAAAAAAGTGGTCCTTAGCCAAAAGGAAGAGTTTACTGCTTTTTTTTTTTTTTTTAAGTACACTTGTGTTCAAATTAAAAAATACATACACATGGTGGTCTACAGAAAAGTGCTTCAGCTTCTAATAGAGTTCTGTGGTAGAGAAAATTTCCTTCTGTCTGTGTTTACAACAAGATTCAAAAAACTTTTATTTACATTTTTAATATTTTTGCAATACCTTCTTTGAGCTGTGATTCATTTAGTTCTGAGTGTTCCTTCTTTGTACTCTACTTCTGTGATCTCTGTGAAAGTAGAAAAAAACAAAGCTTTGGAAAGCAATTCTTACATTTGTTTTAAGGAGAGAAAATAAGATTCAGCTTCTGATTTATGAAGTAGTAGCTAGTGCATAAAGAGATATGTACAAGAATCCACTAACATTAAAATGTAAAAATAAATTACATACATGTTTTGTAATATATACACATGCTTCATTTGAAACCATGGGGTGGCTTTAAAGTAGGCATACCTTCAGAGGATGAAAGCAAGCCATAAAGTGTTTTTAATTCAGCAACTGAAAGATAAAATGTTATGGATGGCTTTGACTGGCCAAGTCTTGCGAATCGAGTGACAGACCGAATAGCTGACTCCAGTAGAATAAATTAAGACACTGAAAAAGATAAGAATTATCTATCAGAAAATTTAACAATTATTTTGAGTATTTGAAATAACAGACAGTATAGTAAAAAGCTATAATTGGTATTATTTTACTTATGTTACATATACATGATTTTGAAAGAGAGATTATGTCAAAAAATACATATGTCAATAAGTAAATTCTACAGGAAAAAGTCTGATGGTGACATGATATTCCCTTGCATGGATGTGCCTCAGCTTTCTCAACCAGTTCTCTGTTGTTGCATCTTTTTGCTTCTGTGAGTAACATTACACACGTCTTTAATTATTTTTAAAGACAAATTACTGGAAATGGATTTGCGGGAAAGGAAGGTGGCCAGCCAAAGCACATATGAAACTGTTTTAACTTTAGAATGTATAATCTTAACAAAATAATTAATTTCTTACATTCATACAGTGCTGTAGAGTTTACAGAGCATGTTTACATCAATTATTCTTTAAACCTTACAGCCCTGTAAAGTAGGTGGCATTCCTTGCATTTCTGTTTGTAAAACTTTTTGTTTTGTCATTGAATTGTTCTTTTAAAAGCAACATTTAAAAAATGTGTTATGCAAATCATGTTTTCATTGCAGATAGTGAGAAAATACAGATAAGCATAAATAGCAATAACAATTTTTATTTTACCTTTCCCTTATGCCGGGCTTTGTTCTGTGTCTTAGAGTCACAGCAGGGAACAGATGACTCTCTGCTCATATCCCACCACCCATCCACTGCAGATCCATTGTTGTTTTGGCTTAAATTATGTTAGACTTTCTCTCACATGCACACATCTTCACACACATATGTATTTTTCACAGAAATGACATATACTTCAGATATATTTTTTCATGTAATTGTATGTCATGAGCTTCCTCTGTGTCAGTATTTGGCAGCCTAATTGTAAGAGTTGTAGATGGATGTACTTTGATCTGTTTAACGAATTTCTCCTTATTTGACATTTTAGGGATATCTAGTTTTTTGCCCATGTGAACACTTCTGAGTTGAAATCCTTTGCATACGTCCTCATTTCTTTTGATAGATTCCTAAAAACACATGGTTGTGTCAGAAGATATGTAGTTTTCAAAATAAAAAGTTGAAAAGGAAAAAGATACCTATTTCGAGTACAACTGAAGCATCTTTCCGGGCAGTCTCTGTTTGTTTGTTTTTGTTTGAAATCAACCTGCCCTTCCCCTTGGCAGTGTGTGCTCCTCACCTACGGTGTAGATTAGAAAATCTTGGCTGGGTTTATAGGCAACATCAGAAGTGTGTCATTCTGATTGTTCTGCTTGTTTATGAGGCAGAGTCAGTTTATTTCTGTGCTTCGTCCCCGTGTGCTGTCTTCTGTCAGTGGCTTGCTGCTGAGTCTCGCTGCTTTGCTGTGGGGCTCGTCCCGTCCCAGGGCTCTTCTGGAGTGGATTTGTAACTCTGTCTTGAGGGTGCAGACGTTTCCTGCAGCTTGCTGTCTTTTAATTAAGTTTTTTATACTGTGTTTGTTTCAGATGTTTATGCAATCAGATATTTTCATTTTTAATGCTAATTTAATACGGAAATTTCAATAGTTCCTCACCTCAGCACTCATGATCATTTAGATTGGATAGCTTGTTGGGGGGGCTATCCTTTGCATTTTGGGATCCCCCCGCACTTGTGACAACTGAAAATGTCTTCAGAACATTGCCAAATGTTTCCTTGTGACCCAAATCACCCCCCTCCATTGGGAAACCTCTGCTTTACAGAGTTCTACTTGTGACTTCATTTGGAGGTTTTTACCCAAAATCCTAGCTGTAATTTCTGCCTCAGGCAAATCCCTGGCTCACATTTCTTTTTGGATAAGTACCTGTTAATAGCGAGGGTGACCATATGCCCCCTTTTGCGCCTGTGTTCTTACATAATTATTAAGAATGCCCCTTTTACCTTCAAGCGTTCCGGAATGAACAAGAAATATATGGTTTTGTTATTTGTAGCCCACCTATGCCTTCAATCTTTTACTGTAAAAATATTTTTGTAACAAAAAAATCTTAGCTTGTGTTCTCCTGCATTTTCTGTTCATAAATGTGCCTATGGGACAAGGAGAGCTTCCCTGACCACAGCTCAAGTCACCAGCTTGCTTCAGCCTCTCCCTCTGCGTGTCTTCCTCTGTGCTCACCTGTCCTGTTACACACACGCACATGGCCTTAAAGAGTGTTTTACATCCATTACTACTTTGCCATCAGTAATTGGTCTAGAATCTTGATGACTTCTTTATGCTGGATCTCTTTACTTTTCTACAGTATTTTTGGCAGGTTGTCTTCTGAGTGCTGTGGTTGTGACTGACTCCCAAGGCAGTTGGCTTCATAGGGGGGCAGCCCAGATGAGCGGAGCACTCCTTCCTCCTCATACTGAGCCCAAGTCTGCCTCCCTGTAACTTCAGCCTCTTGGCCATAGTGTGCTCTCTGGAAAACTCAGCATTCTTCTTCCATGTGACAGATCCTTCAACTTTCTTAATAAGCACTTGGTATTATAACGTAATTATTCATTTCTATCTCTTCCCTAGAGAACACTTAACTCCTTGAAACCAATAATTTTATGACTTAGGTATCTTGTACCACCCATCACCTCTGCCCACAAGCATGTAGAATCCGCGAGTAGAGTGTAATTCTGAAGAAGTGTGTATGGGGGAAGAGGGAGAGAGCAGTAACAAGTGTTAGTGATAACAGTAATTGCAGCTAACACTTATTTAGCACTTGCTATATGCC